ACCAAATTCAAAACTAATGATATCAATTGAATCCGATTCATTCCAATTACAACATAAAACATCTCATAATAACTATATCATCATGCCAATTCCTAAAATTTAAAAAGACATAAAAATTACTTTTACAAGTAGTGGAGATTTTACATATTAAATAACAAAAATCCAAAGATTATGAGAACAAAGCTTTCCATTGACAACTAATTAATGCATAAAAATCTTTTTAATCTTCAAATCCATTATCCAATTAATAAACATCCAATTTTTAAAGCTTCCTCTTGAATGTAATCAACATCTAATTCAATACATATAGGAAAATTTTCTTTTAGACATTTTGACAAACACTTTTTATGTATTAATTTTCAAACAAGTTAGTTAATAAGGATTTCAAACTTCAAATAATTTACCCAATCAATGTAAGCAAATTTTAACCTATCTAAATGCAATTTTTTCATTAATAATTTAATGTATACCCAATCCTTAATCTAAATTCAATACATATAGGAAACTATCTAAATGCAATCCCTCTTAGGCATTTTGACAAACACCTTGTATGCATCATTTTTCTAACAAGTATTAACAAGGCTTGAAATCTTTAAATTTTCTACCCAATCAATATATACAAATTTAAAACTATCTAAACACAATTCTTCAATAAAAATTTAAACAGCAACCTCAGAAACCAATTCAAAATTCCTCAAGCTACTCAAACCCACGTACAACATACTAAACCCACAATGCAATGGTTGAATGAACTTACCTTCACTATTCTGGTGTGCCTTCGAATCAAAGACTATCACGGCCTGGAGAGAGGACGAGGACGGTGAGCTGCTGTGCGTGTGAACTTCACGGCTTTAGCCTTGGTAATAGACGGTGAGTTGCTGCAACACGAAAAAATCAAGCTGATGCAGAACGCACGATGGTAATGGAGGGAGGGCTACGACTTTGAGAGAGCTGAAATCAGGAGAGTCTTCGAGTAGCTCACGGCTGCTGTAGGTAGAAGATGAAAATGAGAGGGAGAGACCAAAAAATCAGAGTTGCCACGCGAGATAGCTGCAGGCTAGAGGTTTGTGGTACTGATGATATGAAGCAGACGCTAGCTGCGAGCAAATTTTTTTTAAAAATCAAGCCACTTCACATCTGTTTACTTGAAAACAGACATGAAGTAAGGTCTGTTGCTGCTAAACAGACGTGAAGTAATGTCTGTTATTACTTCACGTCTGTTATGAAATAACAGACATTACTTCACGTCTATTTAGCAGCAATAGTCTGTTATGAAACAACAGACATTAGTTCACGTCTGTTTAGGATCAATAAACGTTACTTCACGTCTGTTTCTTGTAAACAGATGTGAATTAACGTTTGTTTTGAAGCAACAGACGTTACTTCACGTCTGGTTGATGTAAACAGACATGAATTAATGTCTGTTTTCTTTAAAATAGACATGACGTCTCTTCTATTTTTTAAAACAGACATAAATGAGGGAGGTAAATAACACATTTTGTTGTAGTGTCCTCAACCAAGTTGTGATTTGGTCTACTGAAGTTGTCATCAGCACTCTAGGGTGTTAGTTAAACAAATCAAGGTAACATATTTTGATATCCAAAGCTTTAGTCCAGGTAAGGCCACTCATTCTCAATTCATCAACAGGCCATGTTAGGAGTCTCATCTTTGAATACCAGATCTACGATAACTGGGAAAATCGTCACTAAACAAACCTTAATAGATCGTGGTCAGGCTCTATTTTTGATGCATAGAATGCTCTTAGAGAGGCAAGTGCAAAGCATACTCAGAATCTCTGATAACAGAAGAAAAGTATTATAAGTGAGGCTTTCAGAAGAAGAGAGGAATTTAAGAGAAATCATGAGGAAAGCACACTAGTATTATACAAGAAAATTATTACAACTCCTTCTGCCTCTAATTAGCGGCTGAGCGAGGTTTATATAGAGACTCTGGGTCATAACATGACAAAATCTAAAAGAAAAGATTCTAGACACGATCATTACAATATGACATAAAGGCAAAGATGCCTTTAATCATTACAATAAGACAAACCACTTTAATTATTATAACAAGACAAACTATTTTAATAAAGATAAAGTTAAAGTAGACGTATGACATAAAGCACATTCCTGGTGGCTCCTTCCTATCTTTTGACATGACATAGAGTAGTTTCCTTGATGATTATATTTATCACTAGTCTTTATATATGGGTTCATGACTTGGGGACTGGTTCATGATATCTTCTGGGTTAGAATTGTTAGCATCAGAGTCATAGATTACTGTTGTGTAGCATGAAGGTGGCCTATGGCTCCTTGTGAGTTGGTATTCTTCAAACTTTGTGAGTAGGGTCTCATCATCATTATCTTGATTAGGATCTTGAGATTCTCCTGCAAGAAATGGAGTCTGTGACTAAAGACTTGGTTGAGGGAGATAGAGTCCTTCAAGTTGAGTGAGTTGGATCTATGAATCTCCTTGGTATGGATCTTGAGATCCTTCTACTGGAAAAGTATTTGTTGGAATTGGAGGTCTAACAGCACACATGATGAAATTTCTCTGAAATTCTTCAAGAGTTAAAGAGCTGGCCTAGCCCTATATGGAGAACTAGGAGGACTTGGAGGAAAAGGTCCAAGAGAAAGACATGCAGAGTCTTCTCATTAAGTGCAGTTAATATTTTTCCAAGTTTCTCCATTAATAACTTCTCATCTTTTGGCCACAAGGGGGAAGTAATCCACATATTCAAATGGTTATCTGTGTAAAGATTTCCATCAGCATCTTTATTGTCATAGCACCTATAAAAAGTAAACAAACAAAGGAGTTTTTTCTCCTTTGAGGATGATGCATGCCAAATATTATAATTATCAAGGATATTATAAAGTTTTCCTCTCTAGCAGGGAAGAGGAGCAAGCATCTCAAAATGGGTGACAAGATGAGAACTTTGGTTTCTTGAGTCACACAGATGATAGTATACGGTTAAGGCTGAGAAAGCGATGGCACAAGTGTAATTGGCTGAGAGGGACCAAATATACCATAAAAGTTCTTCTGGTATGGGTCCTTTGATGACGCGTATGGTGAAGTATGGAGCATCGGCATCAAAGTGCTGAGGATATGAGTGAATTCTAGTATTCATGAAAAGGAGGTAGAGCCAGTAGAACATAGTGCTTCCGGCGAGCTTTTGGACATCTGTTGGGTTTTAGGACAGGATCCTGAAGGGAAAATGGTGGCTCTCATTCTGTGAGGTATTTCTGGTTCAAAATGGTTAGGATGTAAAGAGGTAATTGTGTGGAGAATGATAAGAGCTTTGGAGGTTGAGAAGCTCCTGAGGTCTTAAAAGGTAGTATGCAATGGTGTTCTGGTAACCTTTAAGATGATGAACAGTGAATTTATAGTGAGAAAACTAATTTTTCCATCGAAGTAATTAGCTATCTGGCAAGATCTTATATGTTTCATTATATTATATATTAATTTATAAGTAAGACAAATTAGTTTTAAAAAAATAATAAATATAAATACTTTAGAGCAATTTAGTAACTTTATTAATTGTCCCAGCATCAGCAATGGCATTGACATCTATATTACCTTTGGTCGATGTCGATACCACTGCTGATGCTGGGGTCCATGGTGACTATGGTGATGGAGCTTGTGTGGGAACCTGCCCCCACTTTGACTACTATTCTCTTCTACGCTAATCTCCTTCCTCGCCACCTTTACTTGAGAGATCTCTGGCTAGACCTTAATTCAATCATCCTCACAAGTCACAACTACGTATTTTTCTATTTTCTCATCAACTTCTTGACATGTCCCTGGTACGTACCTACTCCCTTACAGATACATACTGCTTATTAATTAATTTATGCTATCAAAATATTAAAGCCTCTGTATTCTCATGATTATCCTCTATTTTATATATATATATATATATATATATATATTAATTTCATAACGACAGTATTCAGTATAAAATAGGGTTAATACAATTTTTTATTTCTTAAATGTGTCCTCATTTTAGTTTTGGTCCTTCAAGTTTTAAGCCATAAATTTAAGTCTTAAACCATAAATTTAAGTCCCTCAAGTTTCTTTTTATTTAAAACATTAGTCCTTATAATTCAATAAAAACTTGAACCATTTTGCTACTTAAGGGACCAAAACCTATGATTTGAAATTTGAGAGATTAAAATTAAAATAATAATAAGCTTGAGGACCAAAGATTATATTACCGTATGAAAAAGTCATGTTGGCATCCAAACATCCAGAATTAGTTTCAGTGCTCATTACTTTGATACGCATCATAAGCTCATCAGATCTGGATCGTCTATATCTAATTTAAATGGTCCAAATTTAAATTTTTTAATTAATTATTTTTAAATAGAAAAAACTATTTTTTTAAAAGAATAACAATTAAGAGATTGTTTTTAGTCTAGATTCTATATATATTAAAATAATTATTTTGAAAAAAAATGAAACCCAGACCATCCAAATAAGATATAACAATCCAAATTGAATGAATTTAGAACACTCGTTAAAACGATGAGTGCCCAAACTAAATCCGAACGCGGTGCGAGCAATCAGGTAAACTCAACAGAAGGCTACAGGGATTAGACACGGAGAAGGGTGTAGAATCCAAATTGACTTATAGTTGACCAGTGTTGGGCACGTGGCTGATTGTTAGTGCTTAGCTTCGTCAAAGTTGTAATATGAGAGATGATGATCAACCCAGAAGGAAGAACACGCGCCTTCGTGGGAAAGTCTCCTCTACTTTTTGTCGTGCACTTTCTAAAAAGCCAAAACTATTGTTAATCCAACAGAAAAGTAACGAACGAATGAATCAAAATGATCTCGCCATTCATTTTTGGCGCGCCCCTTTCTGAGATGTTGACCCAACCCATGTGACTTCAACCAACGCGTCAAGATGGATTGTTGCAGACTCGGGTTTACTCGGAATCTTCGAAGCATCTATAAATTTGGCGGTCATCTAATTCACCTCACCGCACTGAACCATATATCTTCTAAACTTCCTCTTCTTCACAACCTACCTTCCCTTTGGCTCTCACTACTCTGAAATCAATTAGCTTCAACAGAACAATAGAATACGCAAATGACGATGAAGGTACAGAACTGGACCCTGCGCTCTTTCTTTAAACTTCTCCTTCCAAGTCTGAACGAATATAACTGATTCACCTGCATCTAACATAGCTATTTGATGATTTATTTTCCGGCAGAAAATCGTGTTGAAGGTGGAACTACACGGTGAACGAACCAAGCAAAAGGCCATGAAAACAACGTCAGGCATTTCAGGTATATATATGCTTAATCTCCTTTGAGCAAATCCCGAGTTTTAGGTCTTCTAAGTAAAAACCCATAATGTTTAGAGTTTTAAATCCGATTTCATTCGAATTTGGATTATTAGTTCATTGTACAGAATACAATGCGGTTGTTGTAGCAAAGTGGAAAAATTGACCGGTTTGGTTTGGTTTTGCAGGAGTTGAGTCAGTGAATATGGACATGAAGGACAAGAAATTAACCGTAACAGGAGACATCGACCCAGTTAAGGTAGTGGAAAAGCTAAGGAAGTTGTGTCATACAGAGATAGTGTCTGTTGGGGAAGCCAAAGAGTCTGACAAGAAAGCTGAAGAAAAGATAGAGAATATAGCCAAAGCAATTGTGCCTGCTCTTTCGAGTTACAGCCATGTTTATTATCCACAGCCGCCTTATTATGTTGGAACTGTGGAAGAGTATCCTAATAGTGGCTGTGTCATCTGCTAAATTTTGAATTTATGTTTGCGAGGAAGAAAAAATAAAGAGAAAGATAAGGAAGCATGTGGTTGTGATGATTAGATATCTAGGGCTTTGTCTTTTTTTTTTATATATATAGAGAACAGAAGATTAAGATAGCTAGGAAAGTATGTATTTAAAGAGACGTGGTGTGTTGTTATTTTTTTCCCCTCTTTGCTTTGGATTGAAAGTGATGTGCTTAAAGGGGTTTGTTTGTTGTACAAAAGCGGTCTAAAAAATTGTTACGATTGAAGATATTTTTGTAACCTTGACAAATTAAATTTTGATTGTCTTCATATTTAGTGAGAGGGCCAATACGAATCGATAAATATTTGCCATAAAGTTATACTTATTTTGAAGGACCAGATAATAATTACGTGATCATTATATTACTCCTCCGGTCCTTAATATAAGATCCATTTAACAAATTTGATTAGATTAAGGAAGTTAGGTAAGTTGGTTAATTATAAGAAAAGTGACACATTTTTCCTAAAACACCATAATCATCTTTCTTAATACCCCCTATCCATCTTCTACTTAATTATGATTGAGAGAGTATCTATAGGGGTAATTTAGAGAAAATTGATAAATATGAGAAATGGGTCTTATATTTAGGACCAAAATCAACTCAAGAATTGGGTCCTATATTAAGGACCGGAGGAGTATATCCTTAAGGAAACCCTAACACTAAAAGCAAAATAATCCTAACGCCAAATAAAAGTTCAAAAAGGTGCAAAATGTTGTGTTGTGAGGCAAATGTTGGAACCAAGATGAAGCTTTAAGTTTCATTTGACCCCTTCGTTTATTTCAGCTGCTTTGGATATAGATTTCAGGATTGTTGAGACTTGCCGATGAGCAGTTTGCTCTGTGCTTATTTCATTAAAAAAAAAAAGAAAAGAAAAAGAGTAGATGCGTACATAATAATTATGAAATTACAAAATTATGATTAGAATAATATATATGTTTACTATTGAAAACTATACTTAGAATTATATAGCTATATATCTATTGTGAAAAAAATATATTCATAAATATTACTCTTGGTATAAAGTTTTGCTTTTTCTTTGGCTAAGCTGAATTTATTCAGCTCTGATGAAGTTTAGAAACCATTATATTTAAAAATTTAAATCCACCAATGGGGTTGAAGCTACGTGGTAAGGCTAGTTCATCATGATATGTTAAACCAAAATTCAAATCACCGTTGGACTTTTACTACAAATAAGAATTTTAACGTTGATTAACAAGACTTTTTTACGTCAGTTAGTGAGTTTCTTAGCAATTCTATGTCAGTTAAAAAAGCAGCGTAGAAAATCACTTTCTACGTCGATTTTTTAATAATTAACCTAGATTGTAGGAATTCTTTTGAAAGAAAAAAAATACAACAAAACAAATTCAGTGTTACTTATACTTAGAGGCGTCCGCATCCCAGTTTCATCCTGGTAAACAGGGACGAAACCAGATTTTGTACCAACCCAGACAAATTCAATTGTTAGTTGTATCATAATGTGGACATATATTACCAAGTGCCAAAAAGCTAATAGTAAAAAGAAAGATATTAAAGAAAAAACGAAAGAAATAATTATTTTATTAAATACGACTATCTAACATTTGTACCAAGATTTTTGAAAATTATATAACAACATAACATACTTTCATAATTTCTTATTTCATAACATATTATTAAATATGATATTACAAATTTTAATCAATTACTTTTTTTTTCAAGAAAAGGAAAAATCATCATATATAATTTTAACGAATTACAAGTGACAAAAATATAAAGCTAATGAAAGAGTTGATAAAACGATTGAAGAAAGATGAATAAGTAATGAGAACATCTATTCTTGAGTAAGTGGAAACTAGAAGCTTGATGTCTTGCCAAACTGCAGATTCATTTAAGCACCATGGTTGGTCCTGAAAAATGTATCTTTTGCCAATACATAATAAGTTATTAATTGAAGCTTGTCTTGAGCGGTCATATTATGAGACCTATAGGAATGGATCCAAGATGCACTTCAAAAACAAAGAGGAGTGAAAAGTTGAGGATTAGCAAACGTCCTTGAACAAACAAATTTCAGAAGAGGAGATCCATCAAAGCATATTATGACAAGCCAAGAGGTCTTCTTGTTTTGCTTTCTTTTAGATAAAATTACAGACCAGCTACGTAAATTGATGCTCAAAATGAGGGGAGCGCCAGTAACTTTTGCAGAAAAAACAATGATTTTGATACTATTGGAAAAGGCTAAACATGAGAAAGATATTGAGCCAAGAATTTTTCGAATGGCAGCTTGGGATGGCCCTATTTTCTTAGCATGCAAAACAATATATGCCATATGATATTGATGAGGGAGATAATACCTTTTAGCATATCTTCCTGACCATCATTGTGTAGCTGAACTAGGGTAACTTTAGGTCAGGTTTGAAAATTTTTAAAGTTCAAAATCCATAAGCTTCATAGAAGGCATCCAAGGATTCTTCAGAGTGCTACATCCAAAAGGGCATAGGATTTCAACAGGCAGATGATGATGCTTGAGAGTGCTATCAGTTGAGAGACAACTATGTAACGACTTCCATATCAGAAGAAGTTGCTTATAAGAAAGCAAGAGCAGCCATAAAATTTTTCAAAATGGATCTTGAATGCCATGAAATGAAAAAGAAGACTGTGGACATTTCCTAAACCCATCTTTGGCATATGCTAGAAGAAATATCTATCACTACAAAAGGGGGAAAAAAACTTTTTGGGACGACTTTTAGCGGAATGTCACCACTGAAAATCTTACTAAAAAAGACTTTTAGCGGTCATAGTTATTGTCACCGTAGAAAGTGTATTTTAACTTTTTATTATTATTTTAAGTTTTTTTATTAAAAAATCATATTTAGACAATAATTTTGTTCATTAATATAATTTGTTATGATAAAATAAAATATTTTTTACAGATTGTTGTGTTAGAGAGAGAGAAAGAAAGTGTTAGAGAATTATTATAGTGTGTTTGAGAGTAAGAGAGAGGGAAGGAGAAAGGAATGAGTGTGTATGAAAGTGAGATATTATAATTATGTGTGTGTGAGAGAGTTAAATAATCATGCTAAACTTTATTATTTTGTATATACTATTTTCATATTTCATAATTATAAATATAAATATTAAAATAAATAATATAATAACTTAAATAATTAGAAATAAAAAAATAACATATACTATTGTATGAATTATATTTTTTATACAAAATGGATATAGTAAATAAATATTTAATCAAATAAGAAAATTAAATATAAATATTTAATAATAGTATTATTGTTTAACAATATTTAATATAATAGCCTTTAGACCGAAAGGCACTTTCAGCGGTGACATTTTTTGTCGCTGCTAAAGAGTAGTTTTAGCGGTGACTTTTTGTCAGTTGCCATTGAAAGTCTATTTCAATATTTTATTACTATTTCATATATGTGTGTGATTTTACAATAATTATCACCAAATTCATTTCAGCTCAATGGCAAGAAAAAGAGACGCAAAAGCAGGAGGTTAGGAGTTCGAACTATAAAAGGGCCATATTTATGGTGATAATATTCAGTTGATAACGTGACGTGTCGAGGTGTGGATGCATGGCATAGGCAAGGTAGCGAGTGACGTGATGACACCCACCAACGACATGGTAGCCAGCCGATGATGATGTTGGCAGCAGTCGATGGCCAACTGATGTTGATGTCGTGGCTATTGACAACGGTCTTATTTTCTCCGGCGACCTTTTTAGCCGTGACTTTTGTATCGCCGCTGAAGGTTTATTTAGCAGTGACTTTTTGACTTTCAGGGGCGACTTTTGTTGCGGCTCAAAATCAATTTTTTTTTTTTAGTGTATCAAATACAAGAGATTATGATAGAGTTAGCAATCCAAGGAGAATAGAAGCTAGATGTTCCATCAATTGAGATTTCAATTGAAGGGATTACGCACTATAAGATTTACAACTTTTAAGCAAGTTCATTGCTTGTGCAACTCTTGAATGCAATATAAAATCTGCAACTCCAACTAAAAATCTGAAACTTTAACCACTTACGTTTATATAGTCTTCAAAGTGTCATATTAGGTTGGGGGACTCGGCTAAAAAGGCATTGGAGTTGGGGCATACAATAGGCTATTGATGGCAAGGGATTAGACACGCGGAAGTGTGAGGTCCACATTGACTTAGTTGACTCATTTAGTATTTGGTGTCTTTAGGGGAAAAAAATGCAAAATCGTCACATGCAATTTTAATTTTATATAATATTTTGGTTTAGCTTTTTTATTTTATACAAGATTTTCTAGTCTTCTTATCCGAACACCATTTGCTTCAATTGATAATTTTTATATAATAACAATAATTATTATTAAAATTAGACTTAATATATATGAGAATACTTTATTGTTGGCTAAGAAAATTTAAGATACTTTGTTAATATCTAAAACGTTGATGTTAACATTTATTTTAACAGCGTTATGATTAAAACACTGAAAAACACTTTATAAAATTAAAAATTAAAATAATAACGTTATAGTTTGGCCAACTTTATAATTCAAAATAATGACCTCAGTCATCTTTTGCGTACTTTTTTCTGAGATGATGACTAAAGTGACTTTTACGGGACGTGTCATTTACCGCTGGGAAGGAATATGCGTGTATGCAAAAAGAAAAGTTTACTTTCATGGACGCACGCATGTAAGCTTTTTATCTTTCCCATGGAAAAGAGTTGTTAGAAATATAATTCTCATTCACACGATCATTAATGATCAGTGAACAATTGCAATAACTATAACTAAATAAATTATGAATTTGATACTACTCTTTCACTAACTAAAACTGATATTAGTTTTAAATATAAGATTTATTTTTTATATTTATTAAGTTTTTTAAATTATCTTTATTGATACCTTCTCAATTATAACCAAGTAAGAGGGAGAGGAAGAATATGATATTTAAAAAAATATATTATATTTCTTATAATTAATTAATTTACCTAACTTTATTAATCTAATTAAATTAATTAAAAAGTTCTTATATTAAGGAAGTATATTATTTTTCTATGCTTATATTGCTTCTTTTGTTGGCCAACGTCATATGTATATTTATTGCGAAGAAAAGCACCAGTACACTTTAGATATTTACCATCACAATTTTAACCAAAAGCTCAACAAATATACAAGGATGAACCTGTTCACTTATTCAAGATTCATTTTCTTTTCTTTGTATGTATTTTTGAAAATATAATAATATTAAATGTAATTTTCTTGACTTGACTAAATAAAAGTTTTTAAACTACATAAATTTAACA